TCATATCATAAGATAATTAATGAATCCAATAGATTAGATTAGGCTCTTTTATTTTATTTTATATTTTTTGATTTGCAAGCTTTTTTTTTTTTATTAATATTTAATATATATATATATATATGTATGTAAGTGTAGCTCGGATATACCTTCTTTGAGATAACATGCACATGCAGTTGGCATATGTGCACAGTGCACGTATTTGTGGACTGAACAAAATTAACGTTGAATTGTTGGCAGAAACACTGTGACTTAAAAAAGGCGTTGGAATTTAACTATTTTAATAAAAAAATAAAATAATATATTTTATAAATTAAATTTATTATCTCAATAAAGATTTGGTTAAACTAATTATTATAAGTTAATTATTTTACTTAAAGACACATTATTATATAATAATTATATAATTTATTCGTATCATTAACTTATAAATAAAAATTACAAGATCATGAGTCTTATAAATAAGATATGTTTTTTTACTCAAAAAGTAAAGAGTTTCTCCATATTCTCTTATTTTTCTTATTTTACTTTATCTTTTAAATATTATTTTGATAAAGAATGATGTTTTGAATTTGATAATTTTATGGGTAGTGCAAATTCATAAAATATAATTATAAAGATGTAATATCTTGAGAATGACATGCTATATATATATCTACTGCACCAATTGATATACTCTCTGTAGAGACATAAATTACCTTAAAATAAATAAGTTTTTCACGTCTATTTTGATGATATTTTTTATCGATATTTTTTTAAAAATTCACTAATTATTATTTTATTTGATCTTATAATCGAAACATAATAATAACATAATGTGCAAATGGATGAAAGTGTTCGATAAACAAAAGGTAGTAATTAATTAATATAATATATATAGCTTTAAAAGGACAGTTTATATCCATAATCCGTACTTAATCATGGGTTTGGTAGTTTAATTTATAAATCTAATTAAAGACATTTCAAAGTCTCTGATGCGGAGCTGAGGTGTAAGTTGTAGTTGAAAATCTGTTAGTTTACAAGTTTACTTTCACAACAAACCAACGACAATTAATGTTCACACTAATGCCTCAAATAACTCGAGTTAGGTTGCAAGAAAGAAATTGGAATTTTGCAGTTCGTCTAGTGCAAATTATAGATATTTTAATCTCGTGCTAACAATGGGTTTGTCTTTCTTACGAACCCCACTAATGTTGAAGTTGATGTTTAACATTCTACACATAACAAATTGTAAATTGTTTTTCTATTTTTTTACATGAATTGGAAAAAATATATTATTGTTTTTTTTTTAAACATGAAAAATTTTGAGAGAAGGGGAAATTTTTTTTAAGTAATAGTAAAAGTAAAATTTTTAACTTATTTGAATTTTTTAGATTTTTTAGATTTGATTGATAAATTAATTGACCCAATGAATTGATTTGATAAAAATATATTATTATTGATTCAGAAAATTGAGAAGAAGATAACAAACAGACGGTGGACGGGGGGTGTTGGGTAGAAAAAGGTGGAGAGGATGATGGAGAATAATTGTCATGTAGCTGGGATCCTTAGGGTACATGAACATGGCTGATGGATGCCTTCACGTGAATCCCTTTTAAAAAGTGCCCTCTTTTTGAAGTGAAAAATGTTTTTGGTACACAGGAACCTTAACACCGTTCTCGACTTTCGAGCCCCAGTTGGAGACGCATATCCTGTTAATTAGTTAGATCCCACAATTTCCTTTTGTCCCTTCCTAGAGAGAGATGTGATAAGTGTGTGCCAGGAGGAGGCCCAGGACCAAAAATGTAGTCCAAGTTAGGACTTGGCTAGGATCCGTAATTTCCTTTTGTCCTTTTAATCTTCTTTTTCTTCAAGTCTTGAACTGGAAACGATATACTATTCAGTTATTCGGTTCGGATGTAATATTTTATTTCATGATTTTGATTTTATGAAAATTGTGTATGTAAACTCAATATAAAATTTATATTTAATTTAAAATTAATTGATAATAAATAAAATAATTTTTTTATACTTAATTCATAAATTTTTTAATTTTAAATTCGATGTTAGATTTTCTTACTTAACAGATTCAAATTCAAAATCATATCTTTTGAATAAAAATTGAGTTATAAATTTTTTTTGGTTATCAATATGAAAATTAAGGTAAATCATTTACGATCAATCCGGTATTTTATTTTGACCCGTGGATAGAAAGGTGTAATTAGCTAGCGTGTTAGGACGAAAGATCAAAGAAGATAGTATGTGTGATGGGCTCTAACTTTATGATTAGGACGAAAGATCAATTAGGATAAGCAATCAACAAACCAAGGCATGTGGAGGTGCCTGTTTGCTGCACCCTGTTTTCAAGGTCACGGGTTGTGGATTAAGACAACTATTAATCCGCATCTCATGTTCTGTTTTTCTTTTCTAGTTTTAGTTCTTATTCAGATGAGTCGATGACAGACTCCATCACTACCAGATTTTAGGGTCAGATGATTGGGCCATAGCCGAGGAGGATGAAGAAAGTACTAGTTTGTGATAAAAGCCATGGATTGGATTGCAAAGTTTTATATGGCAAAAAAAAAAAAGAAGTTAAATCTACTGTGAAACTTTTAAGGTATGACACCATAAAAATTCTATTAATTTATCTTTAGAGTATATTGAAAAGTATCCAATAATACTGTAATGTTCGGCCAAAGTAATATATAGTTAGCTTTTCTTAAAAATTGATTGTGTAATTTATTCACTACTTTTCCTTTTTATTTAAATATGTTGAACTTGATCTATTCTTATTTTGTACCTTCGTTTATACTCAATATGTTATGTGTTATTGACTGTTCTTATCCACAAGATGAAAAAAAAAAAATGAAATTATGTAAATGCCATATGGCTATGTTGGATAAATGAAATTTTAACTATGTTAAAAAAATATTAATATCTTTTTAGAGTAGCACTTTGGGAGAGGCTTTTGGAGGATTATAACTGTCTTTGTACTTCCTCAGTATGTTGTTGGGCTTATGTAGTTTATAAACATTTAGATTTAGGCCTGTCCAACTTCAACATAGCTGTTTGGGCCCAGCTTTACAATAGCCCATCACACAATACTTCCAGGCCGTTCATGCTTTTCCTGCTCCCATGCTTCTTGTTCTATTTTTGCCATTACATCTACTTCCTCCGAAACTCCGTCTCATAATAATAGACAGATTTAAAGTCAAAAAATGATTTATTCTGTGACAGATAGAGTAGTGTCAGCTTAAGGATATATATATAGTACTTATCTTACCTCTTAAAAATTAGAATGGATATTATTTTAAACTTACGTCATTTTAATAAATATTTATTAAAAAAAACTAAAATATATATATTATTTTTAAAGTATAAATTAAAATGTTTTTTATCTTTTTTTCTCTTATCCTAATTTTTTAAAGGTAAAACGGACAAGCATTAATTCCTATATTTATATATTTTGAACGGATTACAAGTTGAGAGAGAGGAATTGGAACCCCAATCTTGAAGTTAGGGGGTGTATCTTACTATGAGCTATATAATTATTAAGTCACAAAACCCAAGTGCAAACTTAAGAATGTGTTTAATTTGAAGGAGAGAAAAAGGAATGAACGAATTTTTTTATTAATTAGATTGTAATATTCGCCAACATGATAATTTAATTACTTGAAAAATCGTCTTTCTTCTTCTTCTTCTTTTTTGATGAAGAAGAGATCTTATAAATATCATCAAGGTTACCACAAAGGAAACATAGGAATCATAAAGGATTGCTTCTAAATCCCTACAGAAACCCATAAAAGGACTATTATTTTAAAGTTCTAATACAACCAAACCCCAAAATTACTTTTAAGTATAAAAACCAACCTACCCTCAATCTAAATTAAAAGATTTGCTCCGAATGGAAACAAATCTTTATTGACTAATTGTGTTCCTATTTTTCCTCATAATTTCCTAAATTATAATCATAACACAACCATGAGCATGTTTTGGTGTTTGAGCGTCACTGAAGCTATTTTTTGGGGACTGATCAGTGATGGGTGAAAAATATCTCTTTTTACCAATTGATTTCCCTAAAACCAAACTAACTCATGGTTAAAACTGTTAACAAGTCCAACACTTAGATACTCGTACTTGAGTTCATTTTAAAAATTTGAACCTGAGTCAAACTCATGGAAGCTCATGAGTATTCAACTAAGTTCGAACTTATTTGCAAACTTGTACTAACGAATACTTTAATTAGGATTCGAGGATTTTTATTTTTATTTTTGGTAATTTCAAAATGTTTCGACAACTAATTATTTATCCATAATTTTTTCTACATTTTTCAAAAATATTGATGCACTAAAATCTTGAATATATTAAGTCTAGCAATAAATGAAAATTCATAAACTCTATTTGAACATTTTTATTAATAATTATAACTCAAAATATGTAACTTACTTAAGTTTTTCAATTTCGTTAAGTTTTTAAATTGTTATATATTTAAATTTAATAGATAAATATATAATATAATTTTTGATTTTAAACTGGATACTCGTTAGTATCTTACCAATTATTATGAAAGCTTGAGCTTGACTTTTTTAGTAAACGAGTCAAGCTCGAGTAGCTCACAAGTAAACGAGTCAAGCTCGAGTAGCTCAGGGTTACTCATAAACTATTCTAGTTGTTACCAGCCCTACTCATAATTATGTTCACCACCAATTCACAGACAAATTTTTGGGAAGTGCTTCTTTTGAAAGTTGTTTTCCACCCAGGACCAGAAACATTTTTGCTGTTACGCTTCAGATTGTAATAATTTCTAAAAAATTTGTTGCATTAACATGAAATTAGAAAGGTTGGCAAAAATATGATGCACCCTCCAGTCTATATTAGAAGTCCTGGTTCTACCTATTTTAGACTGGGGGGAGAATTAAGGCATGGACCTTATTTCTTTGGCTGCCAGGGCATGGACCTCATACAATGTTTTATATAGTTGTAGAAATCTGAATACCAGGATAAAAGCGGAAGAGAGATAAACCGAATGAAAGGTTCTTCCGCTTTTATATCAAATACGTTCGACTTCTTACGCATTGGTTCCAAGTTCTAGCCGCATGCAAAAAAGTGTAGTTAAAGTACAATAAAAGGGCGTATATTTATTGGACATTCTAAATTGTTCACATTTTTGCTGAAAAAATATACATGTAGTTTGTTGCTGTACAATATTAAAAATTGGATATGCAACTGACCTGCTTTGATTTCAGTCCCCGCAACTTAGTGACACTGAACTGCATTTGTGAGATCACGAGGAACTGTTGATACAGAGGTTGTGCCCAGAGATGAGAGAGCTAAATGCAAAGGCAATGAAAGCCAGAAACGCCATTGCGACTGAGGCACTTGCCATCTCTGTGAACTCATCTTTGCCCCAGTTGGATTCCCAGTCAGTAACTCGAGTGGCTGCCGCTGATGCTGCTGATATCAATAAATAGGCCAGTATCTGCAAGTTAAACCAGGAAAGCAAGCACTTTTCTTTAGAACATATCTTTTCGTAATGTGTGTGCATTTATGTTCTAGTTATGGCCTCCTCGTGGTCATAGAGAGTAAAATTCATCTACAGAGATTTATTACTCATCTACAGAGATTTATTACTCACGCTTAATGACCATACCTATAGAAGATAAGAAACAAAACTGGATTTAAAGGGAGGCGAAATTAACTTGACAAAAATCAGAAGGAAGGGACATCTGAATAAGCTAACACTAGACCAGCAATGAATAATAAACTGCACACAAGAGTATCAAGGTTAAAGCCCAAGTGCCATGTTTAACCACAACTTCTTAAGCCATAAATGCCACCAATTACATGAAAAATATTTACGACAGAAATTCTTGAAAACAAAAAGAAAATAGAGGTAAATTATCTGTTTGATACAATCCAAGTTGAGAACAAGAAAGATAGAGAACTCAAGTAGCAAGCTGTGTGATTGTGTGAAACTTTTAAGAAATATACATGAGATCTTAAACACAGATAACTTACTTGATCCATGAAGAAATCAAAAGGAAAACGAAATCGGTTATGGATAGTATGTTTCTCTGTGATGAGATAGTATGCTAGATCGTATGCCTGGAAGCTTGAATATACAAATGCAATTACATTTACGGATAAGCAATACCTGCAATCAAACAAGTATAATCACCATATCAGGTCTCTCTCTCTCTGGAGGAATGAAAAAGCATATAGAAACTCAAAACAACAGGAAACTTAAAATTACGAAAGCATAATCCATCATCAATCTAACCAAGTGTAAAATCAATAAAACTAAACCCCATTAAACACAGGACACTAACTAAGCAGGACTTCTATTATAATTCATCAAAAGTTAAAAACAAATTACTTAAACCTGTTACAGAAAACAATCATTGCATATGCAGAAATTATCCTAATCTAAAGAGGGAAAATTTTCCAGCCACTCAATCACTCTGAAGATCTTAATACATAGAAGAAAAAACTAGATAAATTGGGAAAAAAAAAAAAAATCAATTTTGAGTAGACAGAATCTATGTCCTAACCAAAATCAACAATCTATGTTAGTCACATCAGAGATGATAATTCATTCAAACTCAAGAAAATACAATAACTTGTGCTGTACTAGGATTCAGGATGTAAAATAAACGGTGTCTTGATTGAAAATTCACCTGTATTCTTTATATCGATCATAGGAGTCACCACTCCAGCCCTGAGTCTTATCAGCAGCCATGACAGAGAATGAAATCAAGCACAAAACGACCTCGCTTAATCGGAACCCTAAAGCAGAGATCTTCACCATCTCCTCAGCTTTCGACCTCTTCAGTATCGCCGTCACAACTCTTGCTCCACCGCCACCACCGCTAAGCTTCGTCGTCGTCGCCGCCGGACCCTCTTCCTTCACTGCACGGCTCACAGTCAACGGCGTCGATTTCCCCGCATTCGGCGCCTGCGGGGTGTGGACCGGAGTGCACTGGGTGTAACCATCGACGAGGACAATCGCCTTGGAGTTGTCGGGGGGCTTCCCAGGGGAGCCAGCGGGGGAACCGTAAGGAGGGGAATCGGTCTCGACTTCCGGCGGGTCACCCAGGTCGGATCGGAGAGGGGAGTGGAAACGGAGCGGAGAATGAGGGGAATCCATGTTGGACAGAGCATCGGAGTTCGAAGAAGAGGATCGCATCATGCCGGAGAGAAATCGTTAGGGCTGGGTTTTGGAATCCATTGGGTTTTCGGGAATTTAAACGGGAAAGAGAAGGAAAAAAAGGGAGGGGGTGTTTAAGTAGTGTTTGGGAAGCGAGAAAAAGGAGTGTGGAAAAGAGAAAAGAGAGACTTCTTAGTGCTTTCGATTTTGTAAAAGAGAGGGACCACGTGGCATGTGTGGGGTGGGAAGTGATTCTCTGGTGCGGACATACACAAGCAGGTACGTGAGACCAACATCATCCCAGTCATCTCCACGTCATTCCTAAATCTTCGTACGTGGCACAATTTATTGCACTAGTCTTCTCTTGTCAAGCGTATTATTTTCGAAAATGATTTTAGGATAATTTTTTTAATTATTTTATTTTATAATTTATATATCTGATTAATTTTTTTATTTATAATATTAAATATATTTATTTATTAAATAATATATAAAAATTATATTAAAAATAATTAAAAAGATTATTTCTATAATATTGTTCTTATATTTGTTTATAAAAATATTAAATTTATTATCAATGATACATTAGATTTAAATAAAATGAATTTCAGCAGTTACTCAGGGCCAATAACATGAATTTCATGTTAGAATCATTCATATCTTGCGTATGACATATTTGAATCTCATAAAATTTTTTTTTAATATATGTAATTAATTTTAATTTATTTTAAATAAAATTAAATCTAACACGATAATTAGATATTAAGAGATTAATATCAAAATGTTAAGTTTATTAAAATTATAAAATATTATTTTTTAAAATATTAATTTAATTTATTTAATAAATAAAATAATTAATATTTATTAATTAATAAATTAAATATTTTAAACATTATTTTAAAAAATCTAAAATCTTAGCCGCCTAACCTTTTTCTTTTTTCTTTTTCACCTTTTTGGAATAACCACGCCCTTTGTTGTCATTACTATGTTTTAAAAGAAAAAATGCCGGGCTCTTTTTTTTGTTAGTACTTCATACCACATAACATAAATTATTATTGAATAAAGAATATTGAGAATTGTGCTTTTATATAATAATTTTTATTTTATAATTTTAATTATAAAATATAAAACCCTTTTCACTTTTTCAAAAAAAAAAAAAAAACCCTCAAATTCAAAACCTTAGGTCTGTGAATTTGCGCTTTAGCTAAAGTTCATGGTCTGTCCTAAAATTCATCTAGTTATGGGTAAATTAATCCCTGGCCAAGATCAGGGTTCAACCTTAGTAACTTTAAACTACTTTGATTTTTTGATAATGAAATTCTAATGAATTTTATATAACATTAAATGAGTAAATAAATATCATACATTCTATTTGAATTAAACGAATTAAATAAAATTACTATGTCATATTATGTTATAAAATTTAATTGTGAAAGAAAAAAGGAAATTTTTTTGCTTACAATTCAACATATAAACTAATGATAAGTTTTATTTACTCTATCAAGACTGGTAATATTGAATGTATTTATTTATTTAATAACATATATATATGTTTTTAAAGAAAATTTTTAAGTAAAATCTGTTCCTAAACCGTAACTAAAAAAAATATATTGATAATAAATCATTTTCCTAAACTAAACCCCGGAAGAAGATAAGATATAGTAGACTAATAGGGTGCGCCTAACTCAGGACAAGATCAAGGTTGAATCTTTGTTAAGATTTTTTTTCATGGGCTTTGCTTAAGAAGTAAGATAATAGATAATATCTCCTTTTGTGTCCCAAACTGCACTTGAATGTGCAGTCGTTTTTTTATGTTCATCTATTACAAGCCAGCTTGTGGCAAAAACCCCAAAAGCTTCAAATATGGAAGTGGAACAAAGTAAGAAAACTACAAAAGGGAAATGCATTAACAGCTCTGAGTGGAGACTTTACAATATAGGCCAAAACCCAAAAGTAAAGTTCTTTCAGTTTTCTTTAAGAGTGGGCTATGCTTTTAGATCAAAAGGGCACCAATTCCTTCCCACCTTTTTTCATTTATTTATGATCAATCTTCAAGCATCCAGATTCCTCCAACACTAAGTATCAGAACACAGCAAAAGGCAATAATATCAGTATCCTATTCCCATGCACATTTCCAACACAATAGCCCTCTAGGTTTCAAAAAGAATATACTTAAAAATTGTAGAAAGAAACAAGTAAAGCATCACCTTCCTTCCTCTTGTCCTTCTATGTTAATTATCCCCACTACCATCTTTATTTATGCAATACAACGCCTTCACTGCTTAAACAACAAAAGGAAACCATTATGATCTAATAATCTATTATTAGTTTCTTCTTCTTCTCTTCTTCTTCCCTTGGATTCTCCCTTCAGGTTCTATTATTCTTCTCTAATTCTTCTTTCTAATTTGTGATCCTATCAGCATTATTCACAAGTACTAGCAAGAAAATTAAACACCCTCATCCAGAATCATCATGACAAAATCCCATAACAGTTCAAAAAAGAAAAAAGAAAGAAATTTGATGCTAAAGAAAAGGATACACACTTGTTGCCAGCATGGACAAGAAAAACCCATCATACCTGCAAGAACAGAATTCCCAAAAACCCATCAAAATCCCAAATTGGATGCAAACCCAAAACTCAACCAAGTTAAAGATTGAAGACAAACCACTTGAAATCGACGCCTCTCATAGCCATCGGTGCAACCCTGTGACGTGGAAACCCTAGACTTAAACCCAGACCCAAGATCGGATCTTCATTTACAACGAGCCTAAGAAAGAGAGAGACGATGCAAAGAAGCCAAGTTTTGGATTATGAGGATTTACTCCTCTTGTGAAGAAGCATTAAATGCAACAACAAAAATAGAGTAATTGCGGAGGAAGAGGGAGAAGGAAGCCTCTTTTTTTTTGCAGAAAAAAAGAGCAGGTGAAAAGCAGGTGAAAGGCCGACGAAAAAAGCTTGAGAGAAAACAGTGGGCTATGTGAGACAAGTATACTGTATTTTGGAACGCTCGCCGTTACCTGACGAAGTTAAAGCAGTTGTTTTATGCTCTTCGCGATGTATTTCCGTATATGCCATTGGTGATGCCGTGGTGGTCTCTCCTTTTTGGAGTAGCTAACAACTGGATCCATTATCTTCAGACACTAATTGCCAATCTCAAGGATGTACGTCTGGGACTCAACTATTATTACTTTATTATAGTGTGTACAATGACAAAGGCTGTTTAATGTTTTTTTAGTAACTTTACAGCAACATTGCATTTTAATTAATACAAAATTAAGTTGGATTTGATTTATAAAAAAAAATTTATTAATTTTTTAATATTCAATAACCATGTTAAATTCAAGAAAAAATTCTCTGAATGTATATTTTTTTTGTTTATGAAATTTGAATTCAAAATTTTATTTTAATAAAATCGAGTTATTTTGTTTTAGATCACCATATCTTATTTAAAAAAAATTAAATTCTTTTTATTTGGATCATCAAATTATTAGTATTAAATGCACTGAACCCTTCGATCAAGTGGCAATAGCCAGGTGCATTCCCCCTCCCTTAGGGTTGGGATTCGAACCCAACCCCTTGTAAAATCCGTTCAAAAAAAAAATTTATTAGTATTAAATAGTGTTTTCAATGTTGGTATTATTATAATTAATAAAAATTAAAAAATAATTCTTTCACATATCTTTTCCCACTTCACTGTATCCTTACAATTTGAATGAAGACCTATTTCTTTTTCATTTTTTTTATT